AAATCCGTTATCGTGTAATCTCGTGTCCTACTAATTGCGGTCGAATAAAATATTATTGTGTGACGTGTATGCTCTTTACTTATATTCATACATTTATTGTCATTATATTTTATCGATAACGGCAACGATTACGAAAGTCGATAAACAGCAAACGTGAAGACAACACTATATTATATTATTATAGTATTGTACTATTATGTTATGCATTATTATTTATTACAATTAAGATTAGAAAATATGACATATAGTTAATAGATCAAACATGAAAAACACGATTTTTCGGCCATGGGGGGGGGGTTTGAACCCCCCCCCTTGCGCACGGGCCTGCTCTCAAGTAGTTAGAAGTTTAGTTAAATATTGTATCGCTTGAAAAAAAGTAGAAAATTTAATGATGTCCTGTGGCTGTATAAACTACTTTATTATTACTTAATTACAATAATTAATTTAGTTCAAATAGATTTATATTTTGTACAATATCTATTAAGTTATATGTTGTATTGTAGTAAATGTTCTATGCCCAGGATGGAAGTTTATTATCTTAAATTAAAACAATATCATTGTGTTTGAAAAACGTTTCTGAGCCTTTAACTGTTTGTCAGCCAATATTACTAAGTAAGAATATTATGATATTATTGCTATTAAAGTATTTTCCAAATCGTTTTATTCAGTTAATATTTTCAGAAAAAATTGCATTTGAAAATACCATTGTGTGTATAAAATATATACTCTTTAAACTTTAAATTAGATACCCAAAAATAATATTTTTTAATTCCATCAAAATAACTGAAATTGTTATTTTGTCGTTTAAATATCTAATTTAAAATATAAATAATAATAAAAACTGTTAATATATTTTTTTTAGATTTTTTGACTCTAATATAAAATATTTATAAGAAACATTGTTTTCAAATTTTTAATCCTTAACTATAAAAAGTTAAGATTTTATACTTTTTTAGTTATAAAATTATTTGAAATTTATTGTGATTTTGATGAATTTAGTCAAATTGTAAACTTTAAATGGTTACAAAAAAAAAAATTGTGTAAGCATAAATATCTAACATTTTTATCTAGTTATATAAACATATTATGATTAACCATGATTTTTTTTTAATTAAATTTTTTCAACAAGGTTGATCAAAGGTTTACAAAAAATTTGGTGTTACTAAAAACAAATAACCTTACTTATACATGAAATTTAAACAGAATGTTTATATTAGCATTTTTTAAAGACCATACAATTTTTAAATTATTTCATCTCATTTTGAGATATTTATGGGCATATAAAAATTAAGATTTTAGTTAGTTATTATTCTGTAAATGTTCCTATTTATATTGATGATATAAAAATGTTATAAATTATTATAATAGAAATTAAAAAAGATTAAAGATACACCGGCATGTTTTATTTTTATAAGTATTTAATGTTCAAATTTTGACAATTAATTTCATTAACATCTCATTTTTTCGCAAGTTATTTTGTTAAAAACTTTTAAAATTTCTACTAAAAATTCTATTTTTAATGCTTAGGTTTGAACATTATTTTAAAATCATTTTTTTTTTTAATTGTTCAGAACTTACAATGTGCTATGTTATGTGTTTGAAAGACTGAGACAAAGAATGTGGGTATGGCGTCCCTTAATTTGAAGAGAATTTGGCTTTGGTTTATTAATATTATGTTTGCGTATAGTATCACATTTCCAAAGCATTAGTATCATATTGACCGCACCTAGACATAAAACTTGCATGTAATCTATGCTCAATTGATTTACTACATCCAAATTTTGAATAATAAGTATTTCTGCTACTTGGTGTTTATCAATGTGATACTACCGTTGAATTGTATAGATAAAATCTTTATCTATCCGTTTTGAACAGTCTAAATTAGAGAAACACTCGTCTCATTAAGTATTTACCTTTGACTGTACTCTAGTTCAAGAATAGAAACCGGAATGGGATTTTGTCTTAAGTAAACAATTTAATGCTTCAAATAAATGGAATGCATCAATAATAAAAATTGTATGAATATTAATGAATATATTATTGTAAGTGTACTATTAACATTAATTTTAATCTTTGACAGAATCAAAAGGGAAGATTGGATATTGTTTATCAATCATGTTAAGAAGGAGGAAATGAAATTTTGGAAAATAAGACTTTTTTTTTATTTTTGATGACCTCACTGATAATCTGGGTATACATCTTCTGAATTATCCGACGATGATTGCGATGATGATGATGATGCCAATTTTTAATTAATATACTTATAAAAAATGGTACAGAGACCTACTTAACCCTTAATCAAAAAATAATTAAATAATTACAAGACAAAAGTGTCATTGATGGGTGGCTTCTTCAATCAAATTTTTCAATTTTATATTTATTGTAGCTCATACTCTTATTGTGCCGGAAGTACAGATTGTGTATATATATTAATAAAGAAAAAAATATAAATTAATAAAGAAAAAAATATATACTTATAAGCACTACATGTAAATTATAAATATACCAATAAATTGTAAAAAATATTATTTTAAATATGTATTATTTTTAATATTGTTATTTGTAGTACCTATATATTTTGTTAGTATTGTTAAGTGGTATATTACGGTAACAATAAAAATACAATTACAGTATTTATAAAAAAGATTAGATGTACAAATATTGATTAATTTATAATATTACGGTAGTTGAATGCAATTCTTACACTAAAATTGGTTAACGTAAAAAATAAAACTGTACTAATGTATTAAATTGAAATATTTATTTAAATTAATTACAGTGTAAAATGTGCATACCAATAATTTAAGTTAATAAGATTGAAAGTGCTGCAATATGCATTGTGTGATTAAGTGAATAATTAATTGTCTTCACTAAAAAATAACAAATTTAATTTCACTTTAATAATAACAAACACAATTTAACTCACTGGCATACGAATACTAGTAAAATGACACTAGTATTAACAATGTAATACCTAGTGAATATTAAATGAATTTGTAAGTATAATAAAAATGTAGATAATCAGTTTTATTTTGAAAAGTATTTAACAGAAATATATTGGGTTTAAAACTTAGATACGCTTGAGTGACCTCAAAATATGTGATTATCTAAATATTCTAAATTATATTTTTATTACAGCCGTTTAAGAACATATTAGTCAATATTATGGAGTAAAGTTTTGGAAAAATAATTTTTTTTCAGCCTATATTATAGTTGAGAGGCACCCTAGTGTGTGTGTATATGTTTGTAATAGAATATTACTGTATATTTATTATGTAATAAAAATCACAAAATATTTTAGTAAACAGATACCTACTAGATATTATTTAGGACTTAGGTACTTAAAAAGATACAAAAATATTAAATGAGTATAATTTGTTTATATTTACATAGTTTAATAATTATATATTTGTATCCGTCATATAAAAACTACCTAACTTTTATTAGAAATATAATTTAAATAAAGAGATAATAAATAAATTGAAATAGTTGGATAATATTTTAACATAATATACATTTGGTCATGTATAGATATACTTAAACTATAAGTTTAAACATAAATAGGTAGCATTAATTATTATGTTTAAAAAAAAATTGCATTAAAAGTTATAATATTTTCTTTTAGAATACAGAGTGATTGAAAAAATATAAAATTTTTAACTTGAAACAATTCACGGCAAATATTTTTTTGATTTAATAAGTTAATGGTTAAAGAAAATCCAAAGGTAGTGTTGAGTTAAAAAGTTAAAGTAAAATTAATTTTTGAACTCGCTAATGCCCAGCCTTTCGAATTTATATTATATTCTCAGAAAGATTAATTCAAAATACATATAACTAAAAATATAAGAGTATCGATGATAATTATTTAGTGACTTAATTTTGGTCACATAACATTTCTCTGTTAAAAAATTAGATGTAAAACAATTTTTTACAAATGTACATTTAAACAAAAAATGTTAAAAAGTAAATGTTTAAATAATTAAAAATTTTGCTTCACGTTTAGTAATAATTATAATTATAAAAAAATAATACCTAAATGTTGTATACCTATCTTTAGATGGTACACAAAATATGATGACAATTCATATTATTGACAAGAAACAAACACACAAAATACGAGTCTATGAACCGCTTACAATTAAACGGACCTTACTCGAGGTCCCGCATGCCCCTTTACCGTAATGCTCACATCTTTAAATATTATTTACAATGGACCGCCTCAGCTGATTTACTCCACTATTATCAGGAATATAATAATGTGTATTATTACTTAGTTTAATTTTTGTATGCACCGAATTGATTGGCACATACAACACTCCTTTATGTTGTGCAAAAAATATATCCCCATATTTTAAATCTAAAGCTATGTAAAGAAAAGTGTACAATTATAATGCAAAATTTAAAAAAAGGAAAAAGTCTTGTACGATTTTTGAAAACTTTTTAAAAGTATTCTTACAAAATTGAAATAACATGAAGTCCGCTTTATTATTTTTCACAGAAATTTGATAATCAATAAAAATTATATTGTTTATGTTGAAAAGATATTGGCAATATAATCGTAATAATTCTCTATCCATTATATTTGGTTTAGATATTTCCCAGAATAATTTATTGTGTTAGGTATTGTTATTTGTAAATTATCAGACATATGTTACAATATTTGTGAAATTGTTATAATTTATGGTAAGTAGTAACGTAATAGGTATACTGATATTAATATACATGTATGATGTATATTATATGATAAACCTAAAGTTAAAAAAAAAATACTTGGATTTGTATTCTTACTTAGTGAGTACTCGTAAAATACATTTTAAAAATAGTATTTCAAAGTATTTTTAATATAATAAATGTTTTTAATCGAATACTAGTGTTAGTATCTTAGTACTTTTCAAAACTATTTTTTACAAGACTGAAAAAGAATATACAGTTATTGTCATCTGTTATCCTAACAAAGTATTCATGTGACATAATATTATATGGTTTAACAAGGCTTAACATATGACATATTTTAAAATAGTATTTGGTTGATTTTAAACATTAGAAATTAATTAACTGTGGGCATGAAAGGGAGATCACAATATAGGTAGATGCTACTAGCCTTATTAGTTGTTTTGTATATTATTAGTGGGTGGAGTGTACCGAGTGTGGAAAGGTAAAAAAGGGTAGTGAAATTACATATATATGTGCATAAATTGTATTCAGGAGAGGAAGTGTTTTGGGGTACAACAAAAGTATGATGCCCAGGCACACCTGACTTCTAAGTTGGCAATATTTTCTATTATTTTACTTAAGTAAATTTAATTTTTCAATAATAATGTTCAAAATGGCAATGTTCCTAACTCATTGAGTTTCTTATGTCATTTTTGATAAGTTTCAGTTTGGAAAACGATCTTTCAGCTGATTCAACAGTTACAGTCTACAGGTAATGTGAGATGTATTAAAGTTGGACTTCAAATATCACAATATGATGTACCTACTATGTAATATTTTAAAATGTATGATGTCAATTATGTCGTTCAATACTTTTGACTTCAAAAAATTTATTAATCCTCCAATTGAGAGTAGCTATGCTGGTTAAATCTGAGCTTATATCATTTTTGTATAATTGGGTAAAATCATGTATGAAACTTTCATTGAGTCATCTTTAGGTAAATGATTGGTAAATGATTGGTTATGAAAATCAAAATCGTCAGTTATTTCTTTTTATCCGTGAAATCTATTAAAAAGTCGATGTACTAATTTTCCGTCTGTTAGCGTCTGCATATCACTCAACCTTAGCGAAAATTTATTCCGACATCAAACCTCTGTTGTCCATCTCAACCACTACTCACAGCTGAGCGACAGTTTCGCGGAATGAACAATAATACGGGTGATGCAATAAGCTATGTTCGTAATTTTTACAAGATATACCTTCATTAATATTTTAATTACCACCTTTTTTCAATTACTGATATTTTATGTGCGGAATTGATGTTATAATAAAATAGATACCGATAACGCAAACGCATCAAATACTAAATAGTGCCCTATTTAGCACCACTAAACACTTTAATGTGCGCCACTGCCTATTTCTTGCGTAGGTATCGGTGACTTCGTTAATGATTTCGTTGTTATATTTTTTTTGCGTGGTTACCTAGTACCTATATTGTTTTCATTTTTTTACACTTGGTGAGTTCGTTTTCATAATATTTACTAAATTCATTCCTTCGGGAATATTACTGTAAAGGTTTTACCGTCCACATTATTAACAATGAATGATTCTAATGTTAAAAACTTGTGTTTACTTAACCTTTCAATTGGTACTATTACGTAACTTAAATTGTGTTTAAGTCGAAGTTTTTGATATTTATTTTATTTTTCGGTGGTATATTTATATTATAATTTTCTTATGTACTTTTGTTTGTTATTTATGTTTGTTATATTATTTTCCTGTATCATGTGTTAATGTGTTATACCCAGTTCATCCATAGGTATTATGACATTGTTATTTAATTCCAAGTTTTGTCTATAAAATTGGTAATTCAATTGTTTTTTATGTTGTAGTCGTTTCGAAGTTTCCTAGTAATATTTTGTAGTTTTAGAGTACCTACCTAAGCCTACGTGTTTTTATTTATTTTAACCACTATTTTTTTGTTGCTTAATTGATCTCATTTGGTATTGTCTGCTCGGTGCTCCAGTGGCCAGTGAGGTATAACAAATGTTTTCACATTTTTAATGCGTTCCGTAATAAAGAAAGTTCTACAAATGAAATATTTGATTCTGTGTCTATTGCATAATTTTCAATACCTACGTGTTCTACTATTACTGATAATTTTTTTTGTAATGAAATGTTTATCTACATTAGTGCAGATATGTTTATTAATATTTTTTTGGTTTATTATTTTTAATAGTAGTATTTAAACATTTGTCTTTTAGTTTACTAATTTATTTCACTTTCTTCGCAAAATTGTTTTGTATTTTCTAAGGTTCGGAAAATATTAGACAACTAAGATTAATCATTATAATTGTCTTTCGTAACAACATATAATAACCATCGTCCAGATTTTGGCTGATTGTTGGTAAACTTTTTCGTTGGTATTTTGATATTGATTAATATTATTAACTGTTATATATTATTAAATTGATATTTCATTTTAAGTATATAGGTAATAGGTACCCGGTATCCATTCACGTTGACATAGTGCTAGAAAAATACGTCTCAAAAAGAACAAATATTGTGCATTATTCAAACGTATATTTTAGCTTCTATAGTTATAATTTTGAAAATCAAGCTTTATTCCGACTTGCAAAATATTTTTTTCTTCTAAAGAATAAAAAAAAATTAGCGAAATTCGACTATTCTACAGGACGTGAGAGTTTTTCCTGTAAGGCATGTTATTGTAATTAAAAGCGCACCAGCTCAGACGCAAAAGTATTGTTTCATTCTAATTACTGCGAGATTCTTATGAGAACGAGCAATCATCGCGAATCACTGGAAGTTTTGAACTATCGAGTGTCGACTATATTATATAGACAACAGTCAACAATCGTCTACAATTTAAAAACCTACGACAGTAATGTGTACAGTAAAAACATACATATTGTAATGCCATTATCAAATATTATTTATTTACTGCTTCGACATGAATACTTATCTTCAGCTCCGGGACAATATATTTTCGTCACGAGGTTCTCCGAGGGGGATTGCACGAAGATTCCTTTCGGAATTTTCGAACACCGTCCAATTGGCGACAATATTTTTCCGATGATCTTTTTTTTCGGGTCCGATAACGACTGATTGCACTTGACCTTGAACCGGTAAATGGTAGACGGCAAAGGAAACGCTGTGGGAAACAGATAGTTCATGCACACTTCGAACAAACTGACGTAGCACGTCTCTTTTTCGCTGCCTTCTATTGAGCGATATTCGGAGTTACCGCTACTCCGGTCACTGTTGCATAGTGATGAAAACAAATTTTCAGTCAAAAAAATGAATCAACAAATACCAAGAACTAAAATTATTAATTTTTATAAATGAATTATGCTAATTCATAGATAAGAAAAAAACGCTATAAGTAGGTATATGATAAACAATCACATGAATAGTAATTTAATATAGGTAGATTCTTATTAATGAATGTAGATGCATACCTATGTATTTTTAAGCCAGTAGCATTTTAAACTCAGTTTATATATCAGACACGGGAATCATATACATTTAAATTTGAGTGTAAATAATCTTACTGTACATTATTTAACATTTATAATTTACAAAACAAACAACTCAAACATTCACAAAAAATAACTGCTATATTTAGGTACTACTGTCTTATGATCTACCTATTTATTGTTTTTTTTTTTAACAACTCATATATATTGTTGACACAATTACACAAATCTAAATATCTATATAACACAATAAAAATGAATAATTATTCAAATTATTAATGTTATGGTCTTTGTATTTATTAAGATAGCTTATTTAATAACAACAATGTGCTTTGAATTAGACTTGAGTATTTAACTAGGTAGGTACCTAATTTTATCATCATATCTATTTCGTAAAGAACATTGTTTTTTATCGCCGTAAGCATAAAAGTTTCTAGTTTTCTTGCACTTTATGAACAAAATCAAATCGTATAATCTGTGCAATAGTAAAAACATAATGTACTTCAATTATAATGCTAATGCTCGTCGGGCAGAGCATAAGCAATAAGCTAGAATAGCTTAATAAATTATTTATTGAAAAAACACCGTTATAATGTATTATTATAATATGTTAATAAATAAAATATATAATATATTAATTATACTTGCATTGGTTAAACGTAGGCACCTAACAAATATTTTTATATCCATACCAAAAGGCAAAAAAGTTATTAATTAATAATTTAAATTCATTAAAATATTGTATGATATACATTATACGTTATCGTAAAAGCTTCAACAGTCCCACCCACACTTGCGTCTTACATACAAAGATATATTGTGTATTTACAATTTACTACTAAACAGAAAAAGTGATTAAAAAAATTGGCCTGTATACATTTTGACATACCTAATAAAAAACTCAAATGGCGCAACTGATTTCTTCCAATAAGGAACTAAGAATATAACAAATATATTTTGAGATCATACTATTACATGTCAAAAAAAATGTTTATCTTTGGACTAAATAAATACAGTTTGTAAGTATCTTAATTAGGCATAGTCAAATTTACTACATTATGATGTTATCGACTGTTATAACTCTCCTTTAATAATATGGTACACAAGACACAACACTAAATCACTGGTGCCCGCTAATAAATTGGGTAAATATATTTAATACTCGGAGAAAAATGGAGATAATTTTAGTCCAAAAAAATGCTTGGAGAGAAATTTTAACCAACCGTTTTGTGGAAGAAAACCATAGTTTCTCATTTTTGAGGGGCAATGGACCCACCCATCACGGTGTACCTAATGATGTGCTCATACTTTTTGGAAGACGTACTGCACATTGCTCTATTGTATTTTGGGTCTGGGCGTCTATTCCGGCAGTTATTCAAACGATTTCTGAGGTCTCTCATTACTTTTGCGTTTCTCTGGAGTACGCTATCGCTAAATCGTATGGATTCTTTGCGACTTGTCGAAGAACTTTGACAAGAATTCATTTTTAAAAACTTGGAAATCACAATAAAATACGTTATTTAAAATAATGGATTGTCACAATGTTGTTTACAATTGACTAAAAAAAATAAACTGATTTAGTGTTTAGTAAACAATACAGATGATTGCGGAAAGCTTAAATATTGTTTCTTCTAACCAGAAAGTATATATTTTATATTATAACTGACTAATTAATTTAATGGGTTTACAAGTATACAACATTTCATTATTATATCAAGACTCTTAAGCGAGCATGCACTGAATTTGTTCGTGAAGTGTACAGAATAATTTTTGTTAGGATATATAATCTCTGCCTTAACATTTTTATAGCTTAAGATTTCTAAAAATAAATCTACCCACAATTTTAGATTTTGAGCGGAGAGATGGATGAATTGATTTTACTATATGTTTTTATATTATATATATTTTTTTTTATTTAAGCTTCGACAACTGATACCATTAGTTGTAAGTTGTGGTACTGTAGGGTTTTTGGAACTGTAGGGTTTTTTGGAATGTAGGGTTATGGAACACGTGTGTGTTATATTATATTATAATATTTAATTATAATTCATTAGGTATAGTAGGTAACTATTTTCATTTTAAGACAATATTGTTATGGGTATCATGCTTAGTTTTATGTGCCTATAAATATTGAGTTGATTTTATTGTTACACCATTTATGTAAGTTATAACTTAAGACATACAACATTAAAAAATAATATTATACAACATAATGACAACAAAATTATTTATACATTATCATAACTTCATAACTTACACAAATAATATCACTACCTAGATCAATTTTAGGATTTTTAAACCTCAAATAATAAACAAAATGTTATTAATTAATGTTTATTTTTTAAATACTTAATCAAGGTTATTTTTTTAAATACTTAATTAAAATTTGAAAATACTTACTATGTGACAAGAATAGGTATTACAGGACTACTGGAGTGTTGTCAATTACTACCAAGGTACAAAAATACTTTAACATAATTTATATATACTTATTGTATCCTACATTTTTGTAATAAAATATTTCATTACATTGACAATTTTTGATCTTACTTATAACATAATAACATTATTTGATCTAAATGTAATTCGGTAAATCATAGATATTCACAGAAGTTCAAATATAACGATAGTCGATACTTGTTACAAGCTTGAATCTGTGTTAAAATAATATAATTTAAAAAAAAAAACAAATAAATTATTGAGTTGCTGTTGATGGCTGAAAATGAAAAAATAGCATAACCAATACTACCTGCAGACGCGTTGGTTTCGATGTAAAATAATATACTAATGTTCTTTAGTTTTACTATAATAACATTACATAGCCTGATAGTATCTGTTCATCCAATTAGACTGTGGTACATATTAATACCTATAAGTAAAATATACTACTCTTAATTATGGAATTTCACGTTTCCTATAGCTTAATCCAAAATGGGCAACAGTTGGCGAAAGCTCTCGCTTTATTTATTAAATTATGGTTACGGTCATCATCAGTGCAATGATAACCACATCCGAAAAAATGTTGACAATCCAAAACATTGTCATAGGTATAAGCGCAGTAGACGTCTACATTTTCGTTGTTCCGTAGCTAAATTTATTATTACTCAGATAATCAGAAAATCTTTATTAATATTTTAGGCCGGAAACCGTTTGATTCCTACAGAAAGTCGGCCTAAAACATAACGAAACAGATATAATACGGTCAATATTAGTGCTAAACTTGTTATTTATTTTTAAATAAATAACGCGCATACATGTGGAGTAAAAAATAAAATAATAAAAAAAAAAAAAAATAAAAAATAAAATATAATATATAATGTATACCCATTCATAATTACAATATGAACTATGTTCAATAGCGCAGAACAGTATTTTAAATTCGTATGATGATTTGTATGCCTGCCATCAATCGATTGCGATAAACCGAGAACTCGATAGTTGTTACTTGACTATATTGTCCAATGTCCAGAAGAATACTCATTACGAGAATGGCATGCAGCGCATGTCCAATTAAAAAAATGAATAAAAACAGTAACAAAATAATACGAGTCCAAAAATAATAACGAATAAAAAATAAAAAGAATGTGTTTTTTAACAATTTAAAATTATGTAAAAAATATTTCCCAAGACGTTAATGGATTTTTTAAATAATTATTGTCTTGGACGTTAAAAAGATCACCAATAAATCATTGCATACGGAAAACGATTCTTTGCAAATACGATACGTACGCTTATATTACTTAGATGTTTTATGATATATTTATGTTGCTATTAAAGTAATTTATTTTACTATTAGTAATATGGTATATGTTGAATTTATTTTTGCTAAAACATTGCACTTTAAAATACTGTTTGTATAAATTATAATAATGAACATACATTTTTCAATTCTATACGAATAATTAGTATTCTTCGTTTAAGTGTTCATAAAAAAATTGTAGAAATTGTAACAAATTTTAGAGATTTCGAGTAAATATTGTCAACATTCAAACTTCAAAAGCTTATAAAAAATACTCGAAAAATAAATTATGTGTTATGTTTATTAACTAATTATATTGTGCACCGTAACACACATCGCATTGTAAAATCAATATATTCCATTTCATCACCCCGCTCAGAATCTAAAATTCAACTATGACTATTTTCATTACTAGAATAAGACATTTACCAGTTATGAAGTACAGTGTGTCGTTTGAATAATATTCATACAATTTGTAACAATAGTATTTGGGTGCGTTGAGATCTTATTGTTATAGTCACGTCGCGTTGTCTCCTCCGTCCTCACTCCATCTGTCCCCGCGGCCTTCTCGGCGATCATTATTATGACCCGCTCGTTGGTGTTGGCGGCGACCAGTGTGGCCACGGCCACCACAAACATGATCCTCTCTGACCGTCATGTAGTTGTCATAATTGTGCAAGACCCTGGGATACCCGAACCGATCAGTGCTCCGAAACAGTATTCAACCTCAGCATTTGGGCTTCAACAATATCTGCAAATATACAATATGGAATTTTGAATATCACCACAGGGATATTTGGGGGGGGTGGGGGAGTTAAGGGGACGGGAGGTGTGTCAAAGATTCGTATAGTATATAGTCTATATTAGTATGTACTTACTACTTACTATATTGGACTCTAAATATTCTCAGTTCAGCTTCAAACAACTATTATAATAAAACTAGTGAGCATATTATTATTTTCAGCTATAGTACCTAATATATATATTTCAATGATATTTAGGTAGTAAATACAATCCATGTATGTACAGAAAGTTCTTAGTTCTTACACTTAAGAAGTAATTCTTTTATATATATTGTATACAAATTCCTTATATATTACTTATGTCCGTTGTTCGTAGTCAATACGACATTGCTATAATATGTTTAAACTTATTATAAGACGACACCGTCTCGTAGCCTTAATATTCTGCTGTGTACCTACTTTATAGGAATAAAATAGATACAAGCATATACGTGATATAAAATGTTCTATATATATATATCGAGGTTAATTAATGACAACGTTTATTACGATTATAAATTCCATCCATTTTACATCAATCTGTGCAAATACAGATCGTATGCCTCATGTTTACCGAGTACCTATTATACTATAACAGTAGATCATTATCTACTAAAAATTGATTATTACTTATTATTTCTTAATATAAAAACCTGAATTGAATATCATCTTACCCATAAGTTCAAGTTTAACTAACAATATTGAAAAAAATTAAACTGCATGCAATTGTTCCGGATTTTCGATCAAAAATAGGTATTTTGTTAGACTAGACAAGTAACACCGAAGTTATATTTTCTAAATACTTAGTATTTTTGTGATCTGAATATTCGTTGACAAAATACATAGTAATTTTACAATTTAATATTTACATTTTACATTTTTTATGAGCTTATGCAATAAAACACTTACTTGCCGGATTGCACAAAACATTAAATGTATCAATGCGAGCTAAAATGGTGGTCCCTTACTTCCTTAAACAAGATTGAGCGTTCAGCGATTGATCCGTTCAATTCTAGTATACCATTAAATTTAATCAATTTTTTATGCAACACGGCATTAAATAATCTAAACATAATTTATCATTGTCAATCTGCGATAATCTGTACGCGGGAATCTTATAGAAAATTTTGTCTTGAGATCCATGGAAAATCACAAATATATTTAAGAATATATTTATATGTATTTAGCCATGGAAGATCACGAACTCTCATTGGTTGTAGACCAGAGTAGTGGAGTGTTACGTTTGTGATAACATTATCAACTATTCGATAATCAATATTCAATGTTTACAAATTCTTTTTCAATATTCATTATATTGTATTTTTTTGTTGTTTAAAAAATTAATTTAGTTGAGATATCTAAGAAATAAATAGTGATATTAGTACTGTTGTAGTAGTTCATACTTGATACTTGATTTATGGTACAGACATCTGTAGTTTACCAATACACAATCATGTTTATTGCTTAACTGTGGCAAACTTACTTATATGTACCTATGAATAAATATTTTTTTCTATAGATTCTATTTAGTTGATACATTTAATATTATTTAATATCTAGTGTATGATTCATGAAAGTGAATATTATCGTTTTGATCAACATAACCTAGTCTGTATGTAAGTATTTTTACTTATATTTTAATTTGTATATTGAAAGAAAACAAAATGTATATTATTTTTATTCAAATAATTAACCATCAAAAATACCTGTAAACTTAAGTTACAATAAATTAATTGCCTATAAGCAAAAGAATGACACTGTGATTCGGCTAATCTGATTACTATGGCCTTGAATATGATAGTTATAACCATTTCTTTAGTTCAGATAATCAAACGTTTAAACTCAGGCTGGTTTCTATGTATTTTGGTGGTTCAGACTTCAAATAATTAATAAACAAGAACTGAATCAGCTGATTAAATGTCTATAATATATATAATATGTCTATAACAAAACAAACTTCTGT